CTCCACTAGCCACTGGCTCGTAAGAGACCGAGCATCTATGATGCACAACGGCTACCAGGTCAAGCCAGATCTAACGTTCTCCAAGAAGCTTACGAGTTAGGGAGTGAAGACAAATTCACAAATAACTTTTTTGGAAGATCATAAGTGACAGAGGCATGCGAGTGGTCCACACAAGGGACACAAATCCCAGAAATGCAGAGTGGGAGAGGCTGCTCCCCTGGGAAATCAGACTTCTGCATGCATCAGGCTAGTCTGCGTCTGCCCAGCCTTGTCATGTGCTCCTTCATGTCTTGGGGCCCGGCACATTCTGTGTGCCTTTGGTTTGTCCCCTTAGCTGGGTGCTGTAGCCAAGTAAAAGCAGCTCCCACGTTTGCTAGACCTCTCCTACACTCCTTTGGGGCCCAGGGGTGTCCGGCACTGGTCGGTTCTCTGGAACTGCTTGCTGAAAACAAAATTTTCTCTCCTATGTAATCAAACTAGCAGAAACATAAGACATAGCAGATCACCTGAGAATAACTGCAGTATTTGAAATATGTTTTCAGGATTTTCCCATTGTTTGGTTCTTAGCAGACAAAGGCCTTTATGAAAGGAATGATTTCTTCCCCCAGCAGGCCAAATGATGCTTTCGGTGAATCATTTCTTTATTTCGGTTTTAGATTGCATCTCACAAAATCACCTCAGGGGCAAATCTCTCCAAATGAAACCATTAATAAGAACTGATAACACCACAGCAGCTTTTCAAGACTACCTCTGGAGGTCAAGCACATCACAAGCCGAAGCTCCAAGTCCACTTGTAAATCTGCAACGGAAGTTCTTGGGGACTCACACTAACCCCCCCACCCCACCCCCCACCCCACCCCCTCTCTGGCTGGCCCCCTGAGTGCTACTTTGAAGAGACCAGTCCTGGAAACAAACATAAGAAGTCGTGAACCTGGACAGAAGGGAAATAGGCAGCTTGGGACAAGTTTCTTCAGAGAAAAGGGCTCCTGCTGACCCACGGCTGAGTTGAGGCAAGTGTCCCTCCAGACCCCACAAGGGAGACAGGAGGGAGGGAGCAGTTTGCTCTCAGCCCCAGGCCGACTGCAGCATGACTGTCCCCAGCAAAGGCAGCCCAAGCTCACCTCTCTTGTCACCTGCCCCTGCGTGGGGGCCTGGATGGAGGCTCCGAAGAATGGGCGTGTTGCCAGCAGCCTATTTAACAGCTCATTACTGTTGTCTCTGGGCTCTCAGCATATCAGTTTGATTCCAAACAGAGCCCAAAACTCACCACTGATAGTTCTTTAATCTTTCTGATATTTCTAGAGGGGAGAGCACAAATTCACCCGGACAGTCTGGGGACTGACTTCAGAGACCAAGGCTCAGTTTTCTCTTTTCTCCTAACACACAGGGCCTGGTCCACTCAAACCTGCCCCTGGAGGGGAGCGGCCCCACCGGTTTGGCTAGGGCCTCGGATCTCCAAGTGTGGTTTCCAGACCAGCAGCATCAGCATGACCGGAAGCTTACTAAATATGCAGTCTCTCAGGTCCCACCCCAGACCTGTAGAATCAGATCCTGCCTTCTAGCAAGACCCCCAGATGATGCGCATGCACCTTGAGAAGCACTGCTCTAAACTAGTAAGTTCATTCCTCAGACTTTATGCCGGGGACGTGATGAGCCTCACAGGGCTGGCAGGTGCCCGTGTTCAGGTACCGCGGCTGTGCTCATAAAGACAAAACCTGGGAACAAACCCAACGTAGCAAAGCGATATTTACTGAGTGCCTACCATGTGACACTGAAGACAGGAGGACCAAAACAGAGAAAGTCCCAAAAATATGGTTGGTGTCATCAGATGGAACATTACTTAGCTGTTTTAAAAAAAAAAAAAAAAAAAAACCCTTTGGAAACAAATAGTCTGCTGGGAGAGTCTTATCCCTGCCTTCCAGGTTGGCTCACTGACTGTGATCCCCTCCAGGCAAACAGTTCATGAAGTCTGCTAGACTGGGGGGCGGGGGAGGGCAGGGAAGAGGGGACATTTCTCTTTGCTAAACAAAATAAGCAAACACGGAAGGGTCTCAGCCACTAGGGCCCCCTGGAACGGTGTGTGAAAGGAATCCAAATCCACTTGCAAGACTTGTGCTGCACAAACGTGACTGTTTGCTTTCACTTTTTCTCCCAGTGTGCCCATCCCCCGACCCCCCACCCCGGGGGCATCCTCCACTCCCTCCCTGGGGCGGCACGTGGCCCCATCAGTCTGATCCCCAGGGTGCTCACTGGGCAGATTTATGTCACCATAACCATTCTTTTTTCTTAAAAGGAAGACAGCTCAGATAAGCACGTGCGGTTTAAGCAAACATAACTTTATTCGGCTACAGCCATGAGAAGGGTAATAAACTCTGAAGAGTAGATCTTCCAGAGAATATAGCAATATTATCTCGCTAGCCCAGGGCTGGGTTTTACGGCTACTCCTAATAGTTGCCCAGAAATCATCGCTTTACTTAGTATTATCCAAAAAGAGCAAAGTCACTCAAGCAACACTTCTTATAACGGTAAAGCGGCTGGCTTTAGGAAAAGCACCCAGCGATACTGACCCCAAGCCGTTGGACCTGTGGTGCTTGGGCCCCCTTCTCCTCTCAGGGAACATGGCTGCTGGAAATCCAAGTGCAGCTGAATTTCTTCTTGTTGGGTCTTAGCTAATCCTCTTTCTTGATCACTCAACCCTCTCTGGCCTGCTCCAGCACTCCCAACCTCTTCACTCTCTCCCCAGTCTCTCCCATCCTTATTCAAGTCTCACTTATTGATTAATTCAACAACCAAGCCCCATACTGTGTGGGATGTGATGTCCTCAGATGAGCCAAGGGACTCACTTCTCATCTGGGAAGAAAGCCAGACTGCCTAGGTGTCCATGATGTCACCAATATTGGTAAGTCACATTTACTTTGTAATATTTAAATAAAAATGGCCGTGGTCCCCTTCTACTACTCTTCTTTGGCTCTAAATTTCAACACCTGCTGAATTCTCTCCCATCACTCCACCTGGTCCTGTCGCGCATATGAACTGGGCTTTGTCTGCATCCTCTGCCCCACCCTAGTTGCCACCTTGCCTGTGTCACTCCCCAGAGTCCCTCTGCCTGGCTTCCCCTCTGTGTCTGGCAGAAACACTTGATTCTCCCACTTTATCATGAGGAGTTCTTTCCCTGCCTATGTCTCTCTCCAGATCTTTCCTTATGAATATGAAAGCTCATTCCGTTGACTGCTAACCAAGAGCCATCCAGGAAAGGACTCCAGATTTGGGCAGCACAAATTACAGTCTTTTAATAGGATCAGATTCTCAGGCAGCTCCCTTCCCAGTTAGCTTCTCTAAGGTATTATATTTCATACTGTAGATGTATAACTATATTAAGAAAGAAGAAAAATCTCAAATCCATAACCTAAACTTCCACCTTAAAAACTGGAAAAAGGACAAACTAAACTGAAAGCAAGCAAAAGGAAAGAAATAATAAAGATCAGAGCAGAAATTAATGAACTAGAGGATAGAAAAATAATAAACAAAATCAGTGGAATCAAAACCTGGTTCTTTGGAAAGATCAACAAATATTTAGCCAGGCAACCAAGAAAATATTGCTAGAGTCAGAAGTATAAGAAGGGATTCCAATGCTAACCTTACAAAAATAAAAAAGAATGTAAAAGAATATTATGAACAGTTGTGTGCCCATAAGTTAGATAACTTAGATGGGATGGACAAATTCCTAGAAAGACACAAACTACTGAAATTGACTCAAAAAAAATAGAAATTCTGAATAGACCTTAAAATAAGTGAAGAGGTTGAATTAGTAATCACTGAACTACCCACAACAGGCTTAGATGGCATCACCATTGAACTCTTACCAAGCATTTAAAGATTTTATACCGATTCTTTACAACTCTTCCAGAAAACAGAAGGGGAGAGAACACTTCCAAACTCACATGTGTAGCCAGTATTACCCATATACCAAAACCAAAGAAAACTATATAGACTATTCTCTCTTATGAATATGGACACAAAATCCTCAATGAAATATCAACAAACCAAATTTAGCAACATGTAAATTTAGTTATACACTCTTAACCAAGTGGGATTTGTCCCAGGAATGAAGATTGATTTACTATCTAAAAATCAATTAATATACTAGACCAAATTAATAGAATAAAAAGCAAATGCTAGATGATCATCTCAATAAATGCATTTGACAAAATCCAACATGCTTTCATGATAAAAATAGTCAACAAATTAGGAATAGGAAGAATTAGGAACTTCCTCAACCCAATTTAAAAGCATCTACAAAAACCCTACAGATAACATTGTGCTTAATGGTAAAAGACCGGATAATTTCCACCTAAGATCAAGAATAAGACAAAGACATTCATTTTTGTCTCTCACCCTTTCTATTCAACATTATATGGGTGATTCTGGCCAGAGCAATTAGGCAAGCAAGACAGAAAAGAAGATCCAGGTAGGTAAGGAAAAACAAAAGCACTTGATGAGTGGTTACTTAGGGCTGGGGCTGGGGATAGAAAGGTGATAGCTAAGAGGTCAGGTTTCTTTTTTAAGCAAAGTTTGTACATATCTGTGAATAGGCTAGAAGTCATTGTATTGTGCCCATCAAATGGGTGGATTGTATGGGATGTGAATTATATCTCAGTAAAGCTATTCCAAAAAAATAGTGACCAGAGAAATGAGAGAACTAGAAGAGAGGATAAAAGTATAAAATTCAGAGAGGGTAATCAACATTAACTCGCCAGAGTCAAAGTCAGTAATAAAAGAGTTCCTTCGACTTGGTGATCATCAGGACAACTGTGACCTGCTCTCAGAGAAAACTTGTCCTCCTATTTTGCCAAAACCGGCTGCTCATCCTTTCCTCTCAATCACTTTCTTTCTGCTTTTTCATTGAAGTCATTCCAGAACTCTCTCCTCTACATCTTGTATCTTTAATCATATCATTCATACTTTTCATTCTTTCACTCAACAAATATTATAACACCTACCAGGTGCCAGGCACCCCTCTGGGCTCCAGGAAACTTCTGATAGTGGTTGTTGACAAGGACTATGTTATGTGGCCATTGCTAGCTGCAAGGGAGGCTGGGAATTATTTTCATTTTCCAGCTTCAATGATAGATGAAAGACAAAGGAGAAGAGGACAAATTAGTCTTGAATTAATCAACCTATTTTTCTTCCACACATTTACAAATAAAACTTTAAAACAAATTTGAATACAGGTCTGACAGCAAGAATTATTTTCATGGCTATTGGAGAGCCCAGATACCCTCCAGTGGTTCTCCACCATTTGATTAATTACTCAGGCCAAAAATTTAGAGCCACATTTTTAACTTCTGTCTTTTTACTCATGCCCTGCATAATCTTGCCCTGTGAAGCAAGATCTTCAAAATATATCTCTTCATCTTCACTGCCACCCCCCTACTCCATGCATCCACCATCTCTCATCTGGCCTGTTACAACAGCCTCTATTCCAAGCTCCCTGCTTTCACTCCTGCCTCTCACTGTATACTCTTCACAGCATAGCCAGACTGATCCTCTCAAAATGGATATGATCATGCTAATCCCTTCTGGAACAGGCTCGAACAGCTTCTCACTGCACTCAAAATTAAATTTAGTGAAGAATGGATGGCCTTTCCAATAAATGGTGCTGGGTCAAATGGCTACCCATATGTGTAAAATTGAAGCTCGATCCCTACCTCACATCATACAAGGAAATGAAGTCCAGGTGGACTGTAGACCTAAATGTGAAAGATAAAATAATAAAGTTGCAAAACAAAAGCATAACAGAAGATCTTTATTTGCTTTGAATAGGAAAAGATTTCTTAAACAAAACACAAAAAAACACAAATGATAAAAGAGCTACATTAAAATTAAGAACTTTTCCCCCCTAAAAGACACCATTAAGAGGATAAAAAGGCAAACCACAGAGTGAGAGAAGGTATTTGCTCTATAAATATCCAACCAAGGATTTGTGTCCAGAATATATAAAGAATGACAAAATTTTAAAAAAGACAGTCAAGGGCGCCTGGGTGGCTCAGTTGGTTAAGCGACTGCCTTCGGCTCAGGTCATGATCCTGGAGTCCCGGGATCGAGTCCCACATCGGGCTCCCTGCTCAGCGGGGAGTCTGCTTCTCCCTCTGACCCTCTTCCCTCTTGTGCTCTATATCTCTCATTCTCTCTCTCTCAAATAAATAAACAAAATCTTAAAAAATAAAAATAAATAAAAAATAAACATAAAAATGTTAAAAAAGACAGTCAATTAACAGAAAAAAATGGGCAAAAGATTTGAATAGTTACCTCTCAAAATAAGATATCCTAATGGCCCACAAATATATGAAAATGAAAATGTGCTTAAGGTCAGGAGTTATCAGGAAAATGCAAATTAAAATTACAATGGCACACCACTATATACACAACAGCATGGCTAAAACAAACAAGCAAAAAGACAAGCTATCCCAAGCATTGGCAAGAATATGAAGCAACTGGAACCCTCATCAAATGCTGGTGGGAGTAAAACATGACGCAGACACTTTGGAAAATTGACACTATCAACTGAAGTTAAACATACATTTATCCCATGAGCTGGCAATTTCATCTCTAGACTTATTCCAATAGAAATACATACATAAACACCAAAAGACACATGAATGCTAATAACAGCTGTATTTGAAATAGCCAAAAGCTGGAAACCACCCAAATGGATAAAGAAACGGTAGAACTTTCATACAGTAGAATATGATACAGCAACGAGAATAAGCAAACAATTACCACACCCAACATGGAAGAATCCCACAATATCCCACAATATTGAAGGAATGAAACCAGACATAAAAGAGTATATACTGCGTGACTTCACTTATATGAAGTTCAAAATCAGTGATTCTAGAAACCAGAAGGTGGAGGGAGGGGTGGCTGGGAAACAGCACGAGGACGGGGTGCTGCTCAAATTCTGTTTCTTAACCTTGAGTGCCGGTTACACAGGTATATTCAGTCTGTACACTTGGGATTTGTGTATGTTTCCGTGTGTTTGTTATGCTTCAGTTAATAGTTTTCCTTTTTTACAATCCCATATGCTAAAAAAAAAAAAAAGTCAAACTGCAAAAATCAAAATAAAACAGCATAAAATTTAAGTCCAAAAGTGTCCTCCAAGCCTTGCACGGTCTCACCAGGTTCTTTGGCCTTCCTTCACCTCCTGCAGCTCCCCCCTTGCTCACCAAGCCCAGCCCCTGCCTTCTGGCGTTGCTCAGACACACAAGACAAGCTCCCACCTCAGGGCCTCTGCACCTGCTCTTCTCTGTCCAGCATCTTCTTCCCAAAAGCTAACACATGCTCACTCCCTGATTTATTCAGAATTCTTACCAAATGCCATCTCTTCGGAGAGGTCTTTCTGACCACTCATCCTAAATAGACACACGTCCTCTCTGTGGTTACCTGCTTTCTCTTTCTTCCTCAGTCTGCTCTTATATTATTTTCCTGCCCCTGCCGTAATGTGACCTCCATGATGGCAGGAACCTTTTCTTTTTTCTTCACTGTCGTATCACCAGTGTCTAGAATAGGGTTTTGTTGAATAAATGAATGAACGAAACCCAAGGGTGAGGATAGTTTCTCACTTTGCATCTTTGCATCTCCTGTGCCTAGCATAACTCTTAGTCCACAGCAGATGCTCAATAAATGTTTAATTGCTTTGGAGTTGAAGTAAGAAACTACATTGCCAATCAACCCTTTGGTGGAAGACCACAAGGCCTTTTGCCAACAGTGTCTGTATGCTACCATTTCCATGCTGTGCTCTGAAAAACAATCTTAAGATTTGCAGTTATGCCATGGATCCCATTCTCACTTAAAAGACACAAAACGAACGATGAAAAGACAGATCAATGCAATGATCCAACACTACTGAAACTGATAATAGCTTAGACGGTTTCTTCAACTAATGGTATGCCAGTGCAGACTTCTTTGGGGACCTAACTGAACTTACCATTTACTCTCTGAAACTCTTCTATCTTATCTTACTACTTTTACTACAGTCCTTTCCTTCCACTCCTTCAGACTCAAACCTTTGTTGCTTCTCGCTGCTTTAACCTGGAGAATGGAAAACGCCTGGCTCGTTTGAGCACGCATTAGGGAAACTCCAGGGCCAGGCACCCATCTTCCGTAAGCCGTTGATGTTCACCCACTGCCCGGCACACAGTAGAAGCTTTGTAGGTGCGAGCTGGGGATGCTGGGCGCCCTCAGGGCCATGCCCTTCTTCCCACTTTGAGAGACCACAGTGTCCCAGTTCTCCTTAAGCTGGGACAGGAAAAATTGTTTACCGCATCCCTCATTTCAGAACTCTCTGAAAGAGCTCCTCCTAGTCAAGCAGAGTTAAATCTATGTTTCCACCGTGGCTTTTAAGACAAACACCTCTCCCCTCCTGCCATAATTTGGGCTCATTACCTACCAAGGATCGTAAAGGTGAAAGGCCTAGAGAAGGGAGAGGCGAGATGAAAAATTCAGAAATATTTCTATTTTTCTATTTGTCTTGGAGTTTTTAAATTTGAAAAAATATGAAATTTTTAGAATAAACAATAAAACATTTAGAGTAAAGCATTCTTTTTTATAGAGTAAAGGATTCTTACTCATATTTTCATGTCCTTTCTTTGATCCTTACATAGAAAATTTTCGCATGAAATTAATAGCAGATACTGCATCTGAATTAGAGTTCCGCCAAACATCCCTTACCAAGTTGCCCCTGGGAAAGCAAATGTTTGAGGATTTAAATGTATCTTTTGCTTCCATATACCAAGCAAAATAAGAATAAGAATTTATTAAGAAAGAAAAATAATCTGGCTAGCAGTTTTCAGAAAGGCTCTAAAGACCATGGGGAAGCATGAATAGCTCTCTATGGAGATTTTAGGGAAGAAAGGGATAATTTCTGGATGGGAATCATCGGGGAAGTCTCCGCATCACACCCGAGTCTGTGAGCTGGACAGATTTCCACAGGCAGAGCCGGACCAAGCATCAAAGGCCAAAGACACACCAGGAGCAAAGATGGCCTGGCCAGGAAGCACAGCATGCGTTTGGGGCCCCAAATTGTTGCCAGCACGTCCTTCCGGACGCAGTTGGTGTGAAATGCTGGCAGATGACAAGGCCGGGAAGGGAGACCATTTCGCCAAGCCCGCAGACTTGCCATGACTGAGAGCTCATCGGCCCTAAGGCAGCGTGGATTGCAAGACGCACAGCCGCTCTCTGTCCCCGTGCAGCCAACGACAACTGCTGGTTGTGAGATGCATCCTGATTTCAAAGATGCTAAAATACACCCTCTCCCCCCAAAACATGTCTTTAGAATCGATAAGAGAGAGCAGTAAGTGAGGAGATGGAAGCAGAGCAGTTGGATGAAGGAAGCACAAAGCATAATGTCAACGACACAAGTGGGATGGCCTTAGGACAGGACTTTACTCTGATGTTACATCTGGGCTTGAGCGAGGTTCTGAATATCTCAGGCAAAATGGCTGACTGTGCGCTTGACCCCTCCTCGGGCCCCCCTGTCCTAGGCTGGCAGGCGACTCACAAACACCCCTGCAGAGGAGGGAGAGAGGGCTCCGAGGAAGCATCGCCTACCATTTTCTCTTTTCTTGTGGGGTGTTCAGCTCCCTTGTTCCACTGGCCACAGCTTATGGAAATTGAGGTGGGCAAAGGGATGTTTTTTAATGATATGCTTCCTAAGGGAACCAGGGGAGCTTTTTACTCATTTGCATCCTTATGATAAAAAAGAACCTTAGAGTTCCAGCTTTGAAGCCCAGAGATATTTGATAATCATCCGTAGACAGAAAAGGGGAGCTGTGGACCTTAATTTCAGATGAGAAAATGTCCCTCCCGAGCCACCCCGTCACTTCAACACAGGCACGCACTCACACACTCACACATATGTACTCACATGTACACACACGCTCGCACGGGGAGAGGCTGAGACACTTGCAGGAGAAAAAAATAGATATTATTTTTGATCCCGAGATACTGGCCGTCACAAGACTTTCAGACATAATCTAGAAATGGTTGGCTTTCAATTTACTTTATGCAAGTTTCTGCTAGCTACACATTTGTCTACAGTGCATCAGAAGCAGCAAACG